GTATAACATATAACATATATATACTGTATATAATATATATAATATATAACATATATATAATGTATATAATATATATAATATATAACATATATATAATGTATATAATATATATAATATATAGCATATAACATATATGATATATATGATATATATAATATACATAATATATATAATATATATAATATATAACATATATAATATATAACATATATAATATATATGATATATATAATATATATAATATATATAATATATATGATATACATAATATATATAATATATATAATATATATAATATATATATATATATATATAATATACATAATATGTATGATATATATATATATATAATATATATAATATATATATAATATATATATAATATATATATATAATATATATATAATATACATAATATATGTGATATATATATAATATATATTATATATATAATATATGATATTATATATATTATATATATATTATATATATATTATATTATATATATTATATTATATATATTATATTATATATATTATATTATATATATTATATTATATACAATATATTATATATATTATATATATCATATATATTATATATGTTATATATTATATATGTTATATATTATATATATTATATTATTTATATTATATTATATATATTATACTATATATATATTATATTATGAATCGTATTCATGTCGACAAATGTAGAAAAGGTATGAATGAAATGAGCATCTTCACAATACAAGAGATGTATTTGACCGGTTTCGAATTATATCTTCGTCGGAAATACATGTATTTCATGTATTTCCGACGAAGATATAATTCGAAACCGGTCAAATACATCTCTTGTATTGTGAAGATACTCATTCTCATTCATATCTTTTCTACATATATTATATTATATATATTATATCATATATATTATATTATATATATTATATTATATATATTATATTATATATTATATTATATATATTATATTATATATATTATATTATACATATTATATTATATATATTATATTATACATATTATATTATATATATTATATTATACATATTATATTGTATATATTATATTATACATATTATATTGTATATATTTTATAATATATATTTTATTATATATATTTAATTATATATATTTTATTATATATATTTTATTATATATATTTTATTATATATATTATATTATATATATCTTATTATATATATTATATTATATATATCTTATTATATATATTATATTATATATATCTTATTATATATATTATATTATATATATCTTATTATATATATCATATTATATATATCTTATTATATATATTATATCATATATATTTTATTATATATATTATATTTTATGAATCTGTCTATCTATATCTATTTATATCTATCCATCTATCTACTCCAAGATAGATATGTATGTATACGTGCGAGCGTGTTCGTTATCATAGCGAAGGGGCTGAATCAGAATGGTAGTTGTCACATTGAACGATTAATCACTATTTGTAAACAATTGATAAATCATATTTCCTCCTCAGTCTCCTATTACTTACTATTCTTACGTATCGTCTTTTTTCTTTTGTTTGTTAAAGGTCATTCGTAAGTTGTTTATACTTTTGTCATCATTACTGTATCAAAGTTTGTCTACCATTGAGGTCCCTGTTTCTTCCTGTATTATATAGGAGTGGGCATAGGAAAAGTAAATATACTGAATATTTACTCATCACTACTTTTATTATACAGAACCCGGCATGTTCCTCGTCAAAAGCAATTAGTCTGTTTGTAATCAACCTGAGCAGCACACACTCGTTAGCGATGAAACCGCCTACTCCGTCTTGTGGGCGAAGCGGTGCCTCGTTAGATTGCTCTTGCGCGAGAATTGCGCCTCGCAGATGTCACACATGAAGGGCTTTTCCCCTGTGTGCACAAAGGCGTGTTGAGCAAGCATGTCCCTGCGTCGAAAAGACTTGTCACAAATGCCACATTCAAAGGGCTTCTCCTTGCTGTGCACCGAAGAGTGGCTCAGCAGACCGCTCCTTTGTCCGAAACTCTTGCCGCAAATAACGCACTCAAAGGGCTTCTCGTTTGTATGTGTCGTGGCGTGGCTCTTGAGGTTGCTCTTCTGCGCGAAACGCTTCCCGCAGACGGTGCATTCAAAGGGCTTCTCGTCCGTGTGAAGAAGTGAATGGCTAACCAAGTTGCTCTTTTGGCCGAAGCGTTTCCCGCACGCCGCGCATTCGTAAGGTTTTTCCTTCGTGTGCACCAAACGGTGACTCAGTAAATTGCTCTTCTGCCGAAACGCTCGACCGCAAATGTCACAAGCGAAAGGCTTCGACTCCGTGTGAAGACTGGAATGTCTCATTAAAGTATCTTTCCTTCCGAAACACTTTCCGCACATTTCACACGGGTAAGGCCTCTCTCGACTGTGCACCACCGAATGTCTCGCGAGATCCCCATTTGAGCCGAAACTTTTCCCGCAGAAGTCGC